GATAAACTGCGAACAACAGATTCGATAACGATTCTTATACGCCAAAAACCTTTGTGAACTGCTGCTCAGAACACAACCGCAATCCAAATGTAGAACAGATGCATTAAGGAGCTGCTTTCTTAACTTTTTACGAGATAAGTTATGATCTTCATTGGGTTTTTCGCTTCAGTGAAATCGCCTTCTTCCAAGCCTGAACGGATCTTAAAGGCACAGTTCACGATATTTTTGGGTAATCCAGATTATGATGAAAAATAAAAGACAAGATCGAAACTAGTGCGACTGAGGTGAAGAAACTGCGTGCATCGGTGTTTCCAAAGAGAAAAAAGACTTCGAAAAATCGTTAAAAAGGGGCTGGACAAGAAAGAGACCAGAAAAATGAGGAAGCGTGGGGCGTTTGGACGAGCTATACAACGTGTCTCGCTGCGTACGTGTGGGTCCTGGTGCGAATAACAGACTATGGTAAGCAAAAATTCATTCGCTTATAAGCATAAGTAAACAAAAAACCCCTAGTGCTAGCAAAAATTGCTCACCTTTTTCAGCCTCGAGGAGTAGGAAATTAAATAAGGGATCGCGGCAGCTGAAAAATTAACAGAGGAAAAAAGATTGGGAGAAAAACGTCGTCTCATCACTCGGTTATCAGCTGATTGTGTGTTGGTCCTAGAACGAATAATAGCATCTGTATTGTCTCGACACTCGTCAAATGTGACACCGATCGAGGGGCGGGAAAGCGAACTACGGCAGCAACGGAGCTTCCACTATGTCTCAAGCGCCGAGTTTGTGGGAGCAAGAGGGTCCCTTCCACCACCCATGGGGGGGGGGAGGGCTGAGTATTCCTAAAGGAAGAACTCAGCAACCTTTTTTATCGTGAACCGTACCTTGCTGTCAAAGGGCCACTCACCGTGATTTCATGGATTCTTCGAAACCACTTAGCAACAGAACATTGTCAAACGGGGTAAGCCTTAATTCGTTCACTTTCTGGAAGATCGAGCTTATAGGCATCAAGCTTATAGGCCGCAGCACTTCAATATTAAGCCTCCTTCCTTCCAATCCTAGAGATTTTTTCTCACGCAAAATCAGTACTGCGGTGATGGAAAAATTGCGAGCATTGTTCTCTTATTGAGTGCGTTCCTGTCTAACTTTCATTTTACACAGGTTCTACTTTTTGGAACATAATAAATCATCTTTCCATTCTGTTGCTGTAACCAGTTTCGTTTTTGATTTGCTTTCACTTCACAGCATCGTCGACATATAGTTGTTGCATGGAGGAAGTTCAAAAATCTTTGCAGATAACAATCTTCCCTCTCTCATTTTCAGGAAACGAAGAGAGCACCACGTTGTGGGGCGCATTACAGATGACAGAAGTCATGTTCTACTGAATTTGTTAGATCAAATTTACTTGTACAGATGAGAGATTCCAGTCCTGAAAGTGTACAGTTGGGTCAAAATTATAGTGGAACTGCGCACTAGCGCTTATACTAATTTTTGCATTTTATGAGGTGAAATTAATTCCTTTCGAGTGATACTGAACAATTGAGTGGTTTCAGAAATAATTTAAGCGTCACCGCTACGATCCAATCATCACTCTGCCTTACGAGTACGTTTGACCTTGTATATCTGCTGACCCCCGGGTCTGACATCTCCTCCGGCGTGACGTGCTCGCCGCAGGTGATCGCGCGCCGTGAAAGGAAAGACTCCCAATGGAAGGATACGGAGAGTCGCCCCGGAACCTCTGCCGCACGCCGTGGAAATTCGGGGAGAAGTTCCATTACCCACAACCCTCGGACTCTTAGCTTATGAGTTAGGAACAACTGCAGATCGGAGGGGTTCAAGTAGGAGACCTTCGATTACATTTAGGAGGAGTGTTACCAAAACAGGGCAAAGTTCTGCCTAGCAGTGAAGCTCACTCTGCATGGCTGGGTTGGATATATCATGAAGTTCCCTGCGCAGAATCGTAAAAGATCAACAGCACAACCAAGCCCTTATGAAAGTCATTTTCAGAGAAGGATAGACAGCTCGCAAAGTGCTGCTGCGCTTCGTTCGAAGAAATAGTCATAGGGAAGTCTTATTCACCGATGAAAAGCTAATCACAATGGAAGATACATAATAAGCAGAATGGCAGGATTTTCGTGTAGTTGGAACGAAAGAAAGAGATGCAGAGTGACGCTCACTCACTTTCTTTAGTGGTCTTTGCAAGAATAATCGCTAGGCCATAATCCAAAAAATTGGTTTTGCCGTGCGCAGAAGGGCACTTTAGCGATCCGAACCGACATATCGTCAAGATGGGCAGTTTCCGATCTGTGGTGAATACGTGAAGACATGTTGCTTTCGACAGGTGGCGATTGAGAAGTCCTGACCTAAACTCCACAGATTGCTCAATGTAGTCAACCTCGGAAATAAAAGAATGACATTGACTACACGAGGACTTGTATAGTCTTGAGAAGGCATTACAAAAAACCAGGGGTCGACTCGAATTCCAGCTGCATGCCTCGTCGTTTCTGGCTTGAGTAGAAGCAGAAAGCAATACATTTCAGTTTTAGCGTGCTTTTAGAACGGGGCATTAGTGGTGAACACCTTTTCGAATGGAGTTTTGCTTTTATTCGATTACGGCGATGCAGATGCATGATATCGCTCCACCCTGTAGAATCTCCATTGATGCTGTCATAACGAATCTCTGTTCCTAGCTCTCAGTGGAGGGATGTGCTCCTGTCGAATACTAACCACGGTGCAGATCGTGCCTGGTCCTTTAAGTGCCTCAACGTGTGGAAAAAATTTTGTCAGGAAGGAAACTTTTTTATCAGGACACATGACAGTACTATTCACGAAGATGATAGTTATTCCTGCTAGAACATCGTATGATGCCTATTGCTACCTCCAAGAAGAAAATAAAATAATTCAGCGCTATTCCAAGTCAATATTGGAGAGGTCTCACAAGTAAGTGATGTGATGGATTAGTTCTCATTGGTGCCGTTACCACATGTTGAGTCTGAGGTCGAATCCTGGATGTAAACCTGCTTAGTCAACCATTCCTCTCTGATCGCGTATTGACGACGCGTACATACTTGCTGATGAGTGCACCAATGTTCCAGTGCATACGAATGTTACTTCAGTTCTGGACAAATTTCAGATGAGTGGCTGCATAGACAATATTGGTTTTTTCGAAAAGTTTGAAAAGTTTCTGCCGACTTCTGGATCGACTTTGAGTGCAATTTTCTAGAAAAACAAATCCATTTATCAAACAATATATTCTTCATTCTGTTCTATGATGGCCTGCCACTTTTCTGATAGTTTCATAATCTCATTTTCATAAAAGGTTCTGGACTTATTGTTAGAACTGTAAAATCCCCTCATGTGCGTTTTGACCCTTCCAACGAATTGAACGAAATTTTCCACTCAACTAGTTCTGCAGAAACCTAACCAAAAGGTAGTCTGATGCTGCTATGTATGGACTATATGGGGGATGTGTTAATTCACCTCATCCAGGCTTCAGCAATTTGCGACGAGTGGCCAAAGATACGTGTGGTTTGCCGTTATCCTAGTAGGAGAACACGCCCTCACAATTAGCCAGTTCTGGTGCTTCTTCTACCGCAGCCTTCAAGTTGTCTAGCTAAGTACAGTACTACCGAAGTTATCGTCTGATTATGCGGCAGCAGCTCATAGTAAACGATTCTCTTTCAATCTCAGCAGCACAGCACAATCTTCCGCACATGGATTTTGGCTTTTGCAGTGCTTTGTGGGGCTCACTGGGAATGCCCAACAATCGCTTTCGCTCCACGTTGTTGTACATGATCCACTCTTCGTCCTCAGTCCGTATCATTCGCTCACGGAGACGCAGTTCAACTCACTGTGCTCGCACAGTTTGTGAGTTACCCAAAGATCGAGGCGTTCATTAAAAGCAAGTTCCAAGAAACGTTCATGGATAGTTAATTGCTAAACAGTGAATCTTCCTCTTATTTCACGAGTAGTGAATGTGCCGATTCATTTAGATAACCTACTGGTTTGGCCATTTTCATCTGATGATAGCTTCCCTAAGCGTTGCCGATCTTCGAGGGTGAATTCACTCCGTTCAAACTTTGCAAACCACTTGCGCACTAAACGTTCACGTACTTCACTTACAGCATTCTTTCCGTATACGTTACAAATCTTCCTCGCCGTTTGAGCTGCGTTTTGCCTTTGCGATAGAAGAAAAGCATTAGGTGCCAAAAATGCACACGACAGTCTTCCATTTTCACACGAGCTCTATACAAAGAAACTTCAAGGAATTTAACATACTCTGAGAGGAGATATAGAGGAAGGCCTACCCTTAGAGAAAATATATAGCTCTATAAGATTATGCCGTCGACCTTTTGCAAAGCTGTTGATAAACTAAGGGTGTTCAAAAACAGCAGCAACTTTCCGGACAGCCCAATACATGAAATTGGATCGATCAACAACAAACGTAATTCATCTTTTATCTGTAATTTTAAGGAGGAAGAGCTATGAAAATGATTTTCATCGAGAATGACCGGTAAAATAAACAAAAGAAAGCACTCAAAATGGAAGTAAAAAGGTGAACCGGGGACGAACATTTTCGGTATAAGGATTATCACAAATTCCTCGAATTCAGCTATGAAACAATCGATCGCTAATTGATGAGTCGATTGCACCCGTCCGTAACAGTACATTATTAGATTCCATCATCATTAACAGTGGAAGGGTGATAGGCCATTCAAACTTTGTTAGAGAAGACCTCTACTATCACAGCGTTCTCAGTTGAACAAGTGGGAAATGGCACAGGAAGAAAGTGAAGGCCTAATTAGAGCAGCAAAGTATCACAGTGTACATACAAAAAGTTCGATATGTGCGATCATCTGGGAAATCATTGAAGGACCTGCATCCATCGATACTGCCTGTAGTCGTTCTGCTTGACCGCTTATCGGATTCATGCCAGAAGATGCGTGAAATCAGAGCTCAACCCTCGGCATGTCTGATCGGTCGCAGAAAAGAATCAACGGGATTTGCGATCAGGTGAACTCAAGCATGGCTCTGTACAGGGAGAAACCGATTGAGAACCATATTAGTATCTGGCAGCTGCTACATGGCACATCCACATCGGGGTCGCCTGAAAACAAAATATTTCTGGTGATCTCATTCATAAGTTTATACTATTAGTTGGTACTTTATACCAGGAGGATAGATGGAGTAGCCCCAACTGTAGGCCCTACCCTACAAACCCCAGGCCGAACTATACCTAAGGTTGGCACGTCTTATGTCTACCAAGCCTGCTGTTCCTCTTAAGTACATCTATCTCTGCACGGACTCATCTACGTAAGGGGATGAAAGCAGAAACTTGTACAGCTCACTGGTCTCTGCATATTCTTATATAGACACCACTGCCCCACGGCTTTCAGGCGACTGGAAACCAAAAGTGTGGGCGAAAGTGACCGGTGCAATAGATAGTCTTTTTCCTTCACCGTAAGTTATCTAACAGAGGGTAAAATTTGTAATGTACTGACAATTTATTGTACAGGACAAATGACGATTCAAATGCCATTCCCTATAAAAGGAGGCTACTCCACGACCTGAACCCGTATTCTTTTTTCACGCCCCAACTACTCAGGTCAGCTACTCGGGTCAAATTTACTTGATTTAAAAAGAACAAAGTTTCATGGAGAAAAAATAAATCGTTGAGGTAAAGCAATCGACAATTACCTATGTACTCGTCTGTTTTCTCATGTTCCTTGCACTGTGAGCAGAACTCGTCGCATGCAGGGCAAACGATGACACCTTCGCGTAGCCAACCATCAGTGATCTAAAAAAGCGAAAATGGGAGTCGAAACTTCGTGAGACGAGATTTCCATAGGGGACTTACCCGTTTGATGTGGATATGTTGACCGGCATAGTAACATGGATAGAAATTAGAGTCGTGAACAGCCACATAAAGCGTTCCATTTTGACAGGAATGCTGTAATTCCAAGAAGCGATGATAGATGAAAGCCTTCAATAGATCTCGTCATTGCAAAAATCATCAAACCTCATAACAGCCGGCCATGTAGTGCAGCAACGATCGCACTCGACCGCATTTTCGCTCGCGCCACGGTTGCTCAAAGTCGAAGCAACGTGATGACGTACCGTACACCTAGAACGAGGATTTTTTTAGAAGTTCGACGGATTGAAATAGAAGTGGATACGGTACCTCAAGGATGTCTTCGCCGCCGCGATTGTTACCCTCGAGTTCACAACGAGAATCTTGCCGCAACGTCGAGTTAGGTAGCTTCCATTGAAACTCCTTCAACAACAATTTATGAAGTCTGATTCTAATGACTAAAATAGCCTCAGCTATTGAAGGGATCTTAGAAAAAAACTAATCAGAAGTTTTTGAAAACTTTTGGGTAATCAATATTGTTCAACTATACAGAGAACCATAGCCACTAACCTGACTGTAAGGGCAGTAATCTGCGAGCTCCACTGTACCTCCGTAATGCTTCACACCTTCCGAAGAAACGCCTTCAATTTTGGCGAAATTCCGGAATTGGATAGGCAGTTCCTGAAAATCCGCTCAGTTCTAGAGTTTTTATAAAGCAGAGCAGATGTTCAGAAAAAGTAGTGATGAAAAGAGGTTATTAAGATTGCAGAATGCACGACGCTATTCAGTATCGAGCAACCATTTTTTCCTTTTCCTCCGTACCCTTGCTTGAACACCTGATGAGGAAATGAAAGCGAGCTTCTGCTCTACTGTGTTCTCTTCCACAGAGTGGTATGCGTGAGGACTTCATTATCAGGAATTGGAACTCCACCATTATGTACACTAGTTGTGAGTTTTCGCCCATGTTACCTCGTGTGCATATCCCGCCCCCTATGGGCGGAGCTCCGCTGAGCTCACATGTGCTTTGCCGATCTTAACCTACGCCCCAACCATCCAAAAGTTGACCGGACTTTTGCAGGTGCTTCCTCCGGTGAAAAGAATTACCGTATAAGATAATAGACAGACAGACAGACAGACAGACAGACAGACAGACAGACAGTCAGACAGAGAGACACATGCAAGTGCGTTGTATATAGTAGGGTATTAAGACTGAGATACGAACTCTGATGAAAAACTTCGCCCTCTATCCTCGCGCAGATTTAGGTACTAACAATAAGAGAGCAGTAGGCACTTCGCTGTCAATGCATGTTGCGGAAAGAAAATCCAGATTAGTAGGTATTAGGAAAGGTTGAAAGAGTGAGGGTGCCGGAGGCGACAGGTTTGTCCAGAGGTAGGCCGAGAGCAATAAGCATTGGACTTGTTAACGAATCAAACGGCAGAGTTCATGGTGAAATAGGTTTCCAATCAAGACGAATTTGTGGCTTTCTTACGTCCCATATACAGCGCTGTCGGGTCTGGATAGGGTCAGTAATGCTCAAAAAGCGCTTCGTCACGTCCATTAGAACATGGAGTGTTGTAGTAGTAGGTTGTAGCGCTCCGCCCGTACGGTTCGGTGACCACGTTCAGTTCCGATCACTTTAGATCTCCACTTCTCCAGCCTACTTATACAGATACCTTATTTGGGGTGGCTCGCCAATAAGCGCAGATCATTGTCCCGCTCATACCAGCATTCGAGCTCTGCTATGACTTCGAACTGAGGTTGAGTGCATCAAGACACCCTATCAACAGTACTCATGAAGCTTCAAATTCCTATCTGTGAACGAATTCCCATTGTACACAGCGCAAAAAAGGAAATCTGCTACAATTCCAAAAAAGATACCTGCTTGTACGGTACAAGATTGCAAATGGCCAGCGAATCTCTCTGCGATGTGCATCTGAAAACATTGCATGTGATTTTACAATGGAATGCTTCATCTGTGAAATCCATTTTTCCTCAAATAGAGCGGAATGAAAATTGAAAAAGCAATTAGTATATGACAAAATAATATAAAAAGGAGAACGCGCATAAGTTTTTTCGCCATAATTTAGGAATGTGAAGATGACTTCCATTTAGCCTTGTTTTGCAGTGAAAAACGTAAAGGGGTGTGGGTACGAAGGTTCGGGGCACAAACCCCACTTCCCCTACGAATGGAGATTCACTATTGTGTATTGTTGAGAAACTTTCAACAACTTCTTTCGAAGATTAGTTCAATATCAGGTCAGCTCTGGCTTTTCGTGCACACAATTTTAAGTTTTTCGCATGTTTATGTCAGTTTGCCTCAAGAGTGTCTCGTAATTTTGCACCAATTTTATGATTGGCATTCTCACGTAAAAGTGGTAGCAGATGGGCCACCTGTGGCTATTGTTGTTGTAAACATTGATCTAAGAGTTGTGAAATCGGTAGGCCATGACTTTCAAGGGCTAGATACTCGCACTCCCAAAGTGTGGGCTATAACTTCGTATCTCCCTCCGGAAGCAAGAGGCTAATTTCGACCAACAATCTCTAAAGTTGACCCTGTAAAATTTCATCTTCCACGACTACACGTCTGTTTAACACGAAAGTCGTATTACCCGAAGAAGCATCTGAAGCAGCCGGCTTGAACGCTTCAGATGTTCACAACGAAAATCTGCTGCTACAGCAGACATCAGATGAGACGAAAAGCCAAAGCGCGGTTCCTCCACGATTTTTGGCCTTGGACGATCGCGGAATCGCTTCCTCCCAGTTCACGTACACAAGCCAACCACATTTGCAATAACCTCAACATTTCTTGAACATATTCGGCCTTCTAATACCCTTCGTTTTCATTCGGTGATGACGTTGTTCCCCGGCTTCCAGAATGTTTCGGACTATGAATGTTTTGCCTTAATTCGGCCATGAACGGCCCATTTCATCGCGGGCCCTTTCAATACTTATCGCGCGGGCTAGGATTTTTTTCCTTTCTTAGTGTCCCTTTTCAGCTTACCTTCTCTTTTTCGCGCACCACCCACACTCAACTTGACCCAGTTATCCCATGCGTTTCTCTAACTAATGGCGAATTTCGCGACAGATAGTTGAGCAGGCCGACACACAGAAAATCACACCTCTTGATTCAACTTCACTACATTTTCTATATTCAGTATTAATTAATTATAATAATATGGCATTGATCCCTCAGAAATCTTACCTGGCCACGCCAAGCGACTTCCGCCCATCGTGCTTGATTTCATTGCAGAACGGCGTGGGCAGTTTACCCCTGCAATAGCACCACAGAGTATTTCAGAAGTTCATATGAAAGTGTTTTATAGCAGTTGCCAAAGAGAATTAGCCTGCGCGAATATGAGGATGACAGCGACAGAATGATAGCTCACTGATTGGGAGCATAGCACGCTTGAGAACTCATCCGCCTTGGGTGTGTTCGTCGGCTAAGACATTTTGGGAGCCTTTATTATGCCTACCTTGTCTATCATTGAGGGTCATAGGTTCATCCAAGGTATAAATCTCAGTAACATTTTGACGCGAACTGCGCCTTTAGGCGGTTCTGTGCAGTTCTCTCCAGCACTCTATTCCACGGATACAACAAGAAGGTCGAAAGGATTTGTTCAACGGGCTGCGATATCATGAAATTTCTGGCCATGTCATGCACCTTCGAATTAGTGGTGTTCTTTTGTACTATTCCACGGAAAGTCACGAAAGATTCATAAGAAATTTAAGCTTCATGGAGTTTTTAGTAGATTTTTTCCAAACCTCTACTAGTAAGTGCAGTCGAGAAAGGCATCATCTTTTTCAGAACTCTACTTGACCGATGGTAGAACTCACTTCTCAATTTTGCTGTTGATCCATTCACCGCAGCTCTTCTTTGCGAATTCGCAACCGAGTTTTCGACCCCAATGAAGCTCTTCGGCTTTTCTGAAGAAAACTTCCTAAGATTCATGAAAAAGAACCCCACAGTAGAGACAATATCAGAGAATCAAAACAAAACTTACTCATAGTTAGGCTTGTACCAGCCACTGTCTTCCAGAAGCGCCAGTGTCATACGTGAATACACTGGATTCTGAGTATGCGTTCCAGTCATAGCCTCATTCTGAATTTTTAACGTTCAAGTGAGTGATTATCACTCAGAAAGCTTGTCGCTAAATTTTGAAAAAATGTAGAAAAACTAACTTCGAATACCCGTTTCTCCCAGTGAGTGAGTGCCGTACCGTCTCCGCCCTGATTCTCGAGCTCCGCCCCTTCGAGACTGTCACAAGCAAAATGCCGACGAGCTTCTTCAACTACCCGTGGTGTCACCATCATGTGAATCGGATGAATAACCTGAAACTATCGTTCACTGAATTTTTGCATCTGATGAACTGATGATTACAAGGGTAATCTGATCTGCAAGGGTCATCGGAGAGGTCAAAGTAGTTGGAAATCTGCCTACTTTCTTGAAATTGTTCTTGGTTGGAATACAATTCATAGGTGGATTCAGAGTGCCTCCCTGATTCTCGCTGGAAGTCGGAATCATGGCACATGGAGACCGCTAATCTTATTTCATTGGCGACGGGCATACATAAGAAGGATCACGAATCATCATCATTCATCTTCAGGGGTAACGTTAGGGTGTGAATAGATCACTTACCCGGCCCTCACCCGTCCACCAATCTTCTCGCAGCACTGTCGTGATAGTGCTGCGGTCCCAGTCGTAGTAGCCGTACTCTTTATTGAATGAGATCGGTTTCCCGTAACGATTTCTGTAAAAAAAATCATGGCAATATTCTGATGTTATAATTTTTTTCGTAGCTGAAATATACTTGTTTCCTAGCAGAAAACCTTCTTCTAAAACAGTAGGCGATACACTTCTTTTTCAACTGGGAGACCCGAGAACCCTGATCCTCGACAGATTTCTCACCTTTTTGTCCGCGGTTTTCCACTTTCGTCTCGAAAGAATGCATAGAGGCCGACACTGAAACCGAGCGCATGAAGGATCTCGTGTTTCACCGTGGAGAACAAAATCTCCCGATCGTGACGATGTGTAGACAAAGCAGACGGACAGAGATTTACGTATCCAGCGACTGGCCTGCAATATTTGGTTTATAGGAAGATCCGTCAGAAGTTGAAATGCCCAGTTATGTCTAAGCAATTTCGATTATTTGATTCAAATTTTCTATTTGCAGAGTTCCTTTTTTCGATAAGACTTTTTTAAATGTAGACTATATTTTTCTAAACTTCACTCTCCTCCTACGTTTCTGCTCGTCGAAAGGCGAACGACCCATCTTGAAGAAAGAAGATTTCATGAACTCATGGTTTTTTCGGGGGCGGTGATTTCTACCGGAACCACCAGCCATTTGTGAGCGTGACTGACGATTTTTCTCTTATACAGTTCTTCGATTTCCTCGTTAGTTTGCCTCGATAATTCTAATGACTGCGCCTTTTGATGATGAAATAACAAAGCTATAACTCTCGAAGAACTGCTAAAGTGGACACTTTGAAGGACCTTCTCAGATCGTTCCCGATGGAATTCAGGTTTATGGCGTCGTTTCAAGTCATCCCTTTACCAAAGCGACACGAATCCTTGCGGTAATGAAGTCGATTCGATTTCTTTTATTGTTCGACATCCGTTATCATTTCCCCCAAAAGATTGAAACGGCAGGCTCGGATGAAATGCAGTCATTTAAGCTTTTTTCATTTCATGCGGAATTCCAATTACAGAGCAGGTTTTCATACAAATCATTGAAAGAAGAGGAGAATATATGCAAAGAATACGTCTCAGAATCTCTGCAAGCTATGGAAAAATAAGCCATTTCCTTCTGATTTCGGTTGAGAAAACTCAATTGCAAAAAAAGTGTCAGATCTTTTCAGCCATTTTTCGTAAAAGAATGACTTGCTCATAGCTAACAATAAGTGATAGTTATAGCTCTTACATGAGGTACGCACTCATCGGGAGTTCACTTAGCGGGAATTCAGGCTACCTGGCAATCAAGTTATTGAGCAGGCCCAATTTTTATAGAGTTCAGCTTCTCAATGATTGTGATTTCGACATGTTGCTTCTCGAGTGGTTGGAAGTGGTATAGTAGGAAGAGACGCAGTATCGCACGGATCCGGGGTCGTATTCCGGCTTGATTCCTATTCATGCCAACTTTCCGACATTCGGAGGTGGAGCAACACATTAGTTGCCCAATTACACAAAAAACAAAAGGGTTACAATAAACATTCGTTGAAACAAAACAAATCTCTTTAGCGCGTGTATCAACCAGTTTGAGTGCTTTCTGTTGACCCCGGTGCTCGTCATCAGAACCGCTAGACTAGCAAGGACTGTATGCTGGATGTGACGGTGTTTTGATCCTAATCTCAAATCACTTTCATGTCTGAGGAGAGGACGAGTTTATCAAAACGTCAGACCCCAGAATAATTGCCCGCTTCAATCCCAAGGGCTTAACGTCATCAACAAAATGAACCATTTCTATAACCTTGCCTAGAAATATTAGATAGTAATGACAGGATTAGAATCGTTTTATGAGTTGATTTTATCCGAGTGCAGTGGATACACGAATAGAAGGCAGACTCCTTTAGATGGCTACGCACCCTCCCCTCTAGTCCACTAGTTTTATGAGGGCAATTCATATTTTGTGAGCGCGCACCTGCGTTAGGACCTACGCTCGTGCTATCATTGAGGAGAAATCAGGCCTAATCTGATCACAGAGTGGGAACCAGAACTGCAGATCATTCGATTCAGGTGCCCAAATAATACGTTAATGATAATCTTGGCTTTTCGTGTAGTGAGTTAAACAGTCTCTCTCCGTTCAGGGTGCCAGTATCAGTGAAGTCGAGTTCGAGGGAATAGTCTGGGACGATAGGAACGTGGTGCTCGGGAAGGGATCCCCTCATCTTCAGCGCACTTGGAAGAGGGTCTGACGGCATTAGTTTGGCTGAAGAAATGTAATGTGACAGTTGGCGTATTACGAGAAATTAACCTAACGAGTGATTGAATTCGAATCGAGTTAATTGAAGAGCAATTAATGGTACCTATCAAGCAGTGCTTCCTGTTGACAATGAGCAGCATAGGCGAGTGTGTCGACACTGTCACATCGTTTCGTGGATACAGCGGTCACGTATAAAATAAAATCGGCGTCCCTGTAAACAAAAATTGATCAATCCCTTTAATAATAATTGGTACTGCAGTAGAGTCACATTATGGAACATGCATGATCCGGGTTCAAGCCAGCCAGCGAAGCCTTCCATTCAGCTTGATTGGCACATTTGAGGTGCTACCTCACTTGGTACCTTTGATGTGGTACCTTTATAATACACGCATGGTTCCATCCAGCTTAATTGCTACCTTCAATGTGGTGCCTTTATGATACACGCATGGTCCCAGTTCAACTCCCTGATCGATATTCGAATTCAACCAGTCCTTCCATACCTCCTGGGTTGGTCAATTGAAGCAGACTCGTCTATGAGGGACTTATACACTGGCTGGCCACCATAAGTCGTTATATATTTGTTTGTTATTTGCTAGTTGTGGCGCACTCAGTGGAGTGTATGAATAAATAAATAAATAAATAAATAAATAAATATAGGTCATACACAGAGTGAACCCCTCAGAAAAGGTTGATTACACTTATGGCCTTATCTTCATCCTTCATTCTGAGCGATTGCTTGGTCTATGACTCCAATAATTCGGTGTCATGGATGAGCCGGGAGGACCAGGAGGATCTAGTCTTTGTGAGGATATTGGAATTGCGAAATGGATAGATGGTTTCAACTTTTGTGGATCTTATTATACAATTGCAGATCCACACGAAATCGCAGACTATGAACAATAGCGAACTTCCAGATTAGTGGGATCTTTGAAAGCGCCATCGTAATGATTGACAGTGCATTCCTCTATATTTGATATTCGAGAATGGGAGCAAAACAGTGACGCGGACGTGGTTTCCCTGATGAGAAAGGAAACTCACTTCACTCCTTCTCCTTGTTCGCCAGATGTGTAACAATCGTCTGACGTCAAGCAGTACGAGCATTCCTGGAATGGGTAGAGGCAGTGATGTCATTTAAGGAACAGGAATCTAAGGACAACAAAATTGGGATGGCATATATAAAATGCATGATGTGTTATAACAATGATTTGCAGAACACATCTGAAGTGCCATTTTTATGAGGTAACTGTGACGTATACTCATGACACATCTAAAAAGGAGTCTCAAGAGCATTGATTTTTCATTTTGTTCCAGAAACTGTACGAAATTTTGGTATATGTAAGGTAGAAATGAACCCGGAGACATAGAATCGAAAGTGAAGCCAAGTGAAGAGGTCCAATGGCTTACCAGCAAATGTTCCGGTGGTATAGTGCTCTCACCGCAATTCGTCTCCGCTCGGCAGCCTCGATCACATGCTATCGTCTTTTTCTCATTGCGATAGTAGTAGAACGATGAGGTACATTTTCTTCAAAAAATTGGATTAAACTGTACTGACGACCACCGGGAAATGGGATGAAAGTATGATACCGTCGAAGGCGTATGGGAGCTTCCGTACGTGCCACCCGAAGCACATCCTCCCAGTAACCAGCAGCTTCAGGTAGAAGAGAACTCTGAAAGCAAAAACTTGTAAATAAACTTTAGCTTACTACCCAAGAAATGTGAAAAACAGAATGATTGGGGAATATTTGCATTCATGGCTAACAGAATGCCCATACTGGAGGTTCCGAAGCAAGTGGATCCAGTAGGGGCTACTCCAGTACGATTTTTGCATCCTCTTCTACACTCGTAATGGAACAGTAGACTAGAGATTTTCTACAACCTTCGGTCGCTGTGCTTTCTGCAGATGCTCCTCAATAGCTCGTCATGATTTCCATTGTCGATGGATGAGGGCGTAATTCATGAATGTGAACGTGAGATTGTTTTTTGTGCCTATCAAACGTCACTCTGTCGTCACTCTTTTAAAAGTGAAAGATCCAAAAACGCCTCACAAATCAAGAGCCATAAGTGAAATCCTAGTTGGGAAGTTTTTGAATGGTATAGACCCTGCGAAAAGTTTACTGCCGATTCTCCATTATCATTTACTAGTTATGGACGATCTAGACCTGACTTACAGCCCGATCCTCGATTTTATCTTGACATTGGGAAGTGAAACGACCTATTCGACTCATTGTGAACTGGACGAGGATACGTAGCGGGATGGGGTCGTGAGCTCAGAACTTGGTCTTCGGCAAAAACCGAAACATGGCCTTCATCGATGAGATCTTATAGGGTGATGAAGAAACAAATATTCGTTCTAGCTGTGTCACTAGCCTCGTAGTCGGCTACTCCGCGATGTACTATTTGATAGGGTTCTCGCTCCGAACGGTGCAAAGCGGGT